TTTTTTTTTAAATTTTTTTTTCAACGTTTTTTATTTATTTTTGGGACAGAGAGAGACAGAGCATGAACGGGGAAGGGGCAGAGAGAGAGGGAGACACAGAATGGGAAGCAGGCTCCAGGCTCTGAGCCATCAGCCCAGAGCCCGACGCGGGGCTCGAACTCACGGACCGCAAGATCGTGACCTGGCTGAAGTCGGACGCTTAACCGACTGCGCCACCCAGGCGCCCCAACTGGTCTTATTTTTAAATCCACACAGCAGTTAGTAAGAACTCAGTAAAACAAGGTGTGTTAAGTGGTCTTTATTGGGGTGTCACATTAGGTTATCTTCTTCATTATCAGTTCTTCAGTTAATTGTACAAGTATGATAAGTTATTTTATATCTGACGTGGGAATTTAAATGTAAAATAAATACAAAATACATCTGTGGTTTAATGAACACTCAATGAAGCATTTTTTTTCTGAGGTATTCCTTTCAGTCTGGTTTTATCCCAGATCTCTCTTTTTTACTTCCCATAGGAAAAGTCTATTAAACCACACAATGGATCTGGAACCAATGAACTGGAGTTTTGATTACATTAGACGTATTTTTTGATCTCATCATACAATACCAATACGAAAGCTCCGCCCATGCCTCTCAACACGTTGGACCAGGCACCTTTGAAGAAAGCCTTGGCTCCTTCATCTTTTGCAATCTTCCTCCAGCAGTCCACCGTCCCAGTGTACATAATATCCGCTGTGGAAACAAATGTCCGTAAGGGCTCCAGGATTCTGGAGGAAAGAGGCTTTTCCTCTGAAAGACATCTGCACAGTTAGAAAAGTCAGTCACTTCAGCTCTAGGCATCCTGCTAAACACCGCCTTCCTTGCATAACTAGCAGGCAGCACCTTTTGTCAAGCCTACTCCTTCAACCCAAGATCAAGTGAAGAACTGGGGCGATTAACCAGCTCACCCACACGTGGTCAAGCTGTGCAATCAGGGGATCGGGTGGAGCGGGAAGTATTAAGCTAGATGGTCCCCTTTTTTATGGGTGAGAAAACAGGTGGAGTCTCAGATTCTGCTGCCCAAGAGGACACCGTTAAAAGAGACACAGCTATTAAGCTGAACCATATGGCACTAAGGTTTGACTTTTTGACCTCAAAAATGGCAATTTCCTATGTTTCGATCTATGGCAGCCAAAACCGCTTCAGGCCATCTCACCCAACAAAAACATCCTCTCCCACTAACACCTATAGTAGCAAGATGACAGAAGCAAGAATTATTTTTAAATAAACTAGCTAATTCATTTTCTGCGTTTCTGTACCCAGGCCCTAAGGGAAAAGGGCCTAAGGCCTCTATAATACTAGCCGAGTCACATCTCGACATCTCATTTTTGATGTTCTTATCCCTTTGATAGAAGCAAATTCTCTTCTCTAACGGACCAGCTGACGGTGCGAGGGGGGACTGATCGTAAGTTTTCTTTCCTAAGTCCTTATCACATCATTTTAACAAGGAGAATAGTGAAGACTGGAAGGAGCACTGACTGGTGTTCTCCTTGGGCAGAGAAATAAGAGACCCACAGGTGTCAAGCTTACCCCCTTTCCGGCCAGACTGCATCATCATCCTACGGCGGACAGTGTCGAAGGGGTAGGACACCAGCCCCGCGACCGCTGTCACGCTCTGGGCAATCATCCAGCTCACAATAATGTGCACATTCTTGGGGTCAGGCAACATCCCTGTGTGCAGAGGCAAGAAGCCAAACGGCTATGAAGTGATTTCTCTCAGCAGCTCAGCAAAAAGCAGGAAGGGATGGAGAAGAGGCTACCATGCCTCCACCTCCATGCCCTACCCTTCTGGAAGGACCTGACCTTTGTGGGGCGCCTCACAAATAACCAGGCAGCCAGCCAAAGCTGGGGGCTGCCCTCGGGATCCAGGGAACCCCGAATTCTGCCCAAGGAACAGGGCATGTGAAGGAGGTCCCCGAGTTCCAAGTCGTGAGTGACAGAGCTGTGGCAAGGGGGAAGCAGGCTCCCCTTCTCCCTCTCTGAGTAACTCCAGGCCAGAGTTTATTTCAGTAGAGGACAAGGAGAGCCCTTTAGCCATTTATCCACACCGTACCACCTCATTCAGAAGCTTCAGTTTAGCCCAGGGGCTAGGGGAGAAAAAACCCAAGATTAATAAATAGGTCCTCTGTGAGTGACAGACCCCTAGGGACCTTCCTCCTCCCCACTCCGCACCCCCTGAGGCCCCTCGCTCACCCTTGGCAGTATCATAAACTCCAAAGTAGGCAGCTCTGTAGATAATGATGCCCTGGACAGAGACGCTGAAACCCTGGTAGAGACCCTTCAGGCCATCAGACTTGAAGATCTTGGTGAGACAGTCGCCCAGACCACTGAACTCACGCTGGGCAGCACCCTTGCCCACGTCGGCAGCCAACCTGGTCCTAGCAAAGTCCAGTGGGTAGACAAAGCAGAGGGAGGTGGCCCCAGCTGCCCCACCGGAAGCCAGGTTACCGGCAAAGTAGCGCCAGAATTGCTTATGCCGGTCCACGCCCCCCAGGAAGATCTGCTTGTACTTGTCCTTGAAGGCGAAGTTGAGAGCTTGGGTGGGGAAGTAACGGATCACGTTGGCCAGGTTACCCCTCCAGAAGGAGAGAAAGCCCTGCTCCTTGGGGATTCTCACCACACAATCAATGATCCCTTTGTACTGCTTCTCAGCACTGATCTGTTTGCTGGCATGCTGGACCTGTGGGGGGAGGAGAGGGGAGGGCGGAAGGAATTGGGTGAGGACAGCCAGAGCAAGGGGGGGGGGGGATGGAAAGAGGATAGGAGGAAAATGAATGCTTACCATTCCCTGATTTTCTTTCTTAAATAAATGGGGACATCAGATATCAAGTCCAAATAAATATGTCGGCTACTTGGATAACAAGCCAAAAAAATCCAATTTTGCCCCACTTATCAGGGCATTTGAGAGCAACAGGTCTTCCCCAAATAAACTGAAAAGATTTCATTGTAAAGAGAGTCATGTATGCACTACATTTTCCCTAGGTTCCAGAACTGTATTGGGGGCTCAAAGGGAGGTAAAGGGCCCCTGCTCTAATTTAACAGACAGGATGGGCAGGAGCTAATGATTCCTCAATTTCACAGAGTTTCCCTGGAGACCAGGATCTCTGAGTACTAGATGCTCTAACAGAAGGAGAATAAATCCACCAGGTATTAGAGCGTGAAAAATTTCAAGCAGATTATCCAAGTAATTAATTATTGAGGGGTCTGTTGCTGTTTGCAAGTGAGCAATTTGTTGGGGTTTTTCTTTATGATAATTTTGACTCCCAAACTGAGGACGCCCTGTTTCTCATTGAGGGGCCCTTGCCTTCGAGAAAAACACGATGGAGATGATGATAAACCAGAGATCAGGCTGCAGAGGAAAAGATTTGGGGACAGGGTAAGACAATGTGAATTTATTCTAAAAACTGCTCCTTAATCTCTCAAAACCTGTTTCTTCCGCTGCGAAACCGGGGAGAAAAATCCTTACAGAGGTTATGCGAAGATAAATAATAATATATGTCAGCCTACAGCATTAGTGCGTGGGTCACAGTAAGCTGGCTTTTGAGTAACAATTATTTTGAGGTTTTTATTGTAGACGGTGGATGCACGGGGGAAAAGGTGCAACGAACACTGAAAATCAAAAGGTGAGGCCGACCTATGAGGCCTAAGCGGAGCGTCAGTGCAGTCCCAGGAGCAGGATCCGGCTGGCGGTAACCCACTCGGGGTGGCTTTCCATATATAGACACTCGAA